CGGATACAAAGACATACATACAGATACACAGAATGACATGCATACAGATACATAGGGGCATACACTGACACACATGCATTCAAACAGATACACAGACACATACAGATACAGACACATGTGCAGATAAACAGATACATACAGACACATAAACAAACACACATACAAGCAGATACATACATATGCAAATACACATACAAACAGATACAGACACATGTGCAGATAAACAGATACATACAGACACATATGCATACATACAGATACATATATAGACACATGCAGGCATACACATACATATAGACACATGCAAACAAAAAGATTCACATGCAGATAAACAGACACACATATAGACATGCATGAAGATACACAGACACACTTAATGACAAACATTCAGATGCACAGAATGATACGCATACATATATAAACAGTGACACACATACAGATACATAGAGGCACACACTGACACACAGGCAGACACATTTGTAGATACACATAGACAGATACACATACAGACACACAGACACATGTGGATACACAGACACACTTAATGACAAACATTCAGATACACAGAATGATACACATACAGATATAAACAGTGACACACAGGCAGACAAACAGGGGATAGGCATCCTAACTATAAGATAAGGCCAGGGACTAATGAAAGTATTTAGAAAATTGGGCAGACTAGATGGGCCGAATGGTTCTTATCTGCCGTCACATTCTATGTTTCTATACACGTACAGACACATATGCAGACAGATAAACATGTAGACACGTATGCAGATACACACTTAATGACAAACATTCAGATACACAGAATGACACACATACAGATACATAGGGGCACACACTGACACACATGCAAACAGATACACATACAGACATACAGATACTCATACAGACCCACATGCAGACAAAGAGGTATACATACAAAGAGATATACATAGACACACACACATACAGACATTGACACACACACAACATGTAAGTCACCTTCCAGCATCTGTCTCTGGCTGATGGGAGTCAGAGTTCATACTCTCACTCCCTCCTCTCTGTCCTGACGCTCTCCTCCTGCACGTTCTGACATCATCAGCAGCGCTGACCAGGCCCCAGGAAATTAATTGCCATCGGGTGGCCCACACGGCCGCACCACAATGCTGGTGGGCACCCTGGTCACATGGGTCGGCAGGGTGGCCGGCCCCCTGGAGTGACGGGCTCGGTCGCAGCTGCGACCATGGTAGTTCCGCCACTGCACTACACATACTGATAGATACAAAAACACACAAAATGCAAAATTCATGTTTCGGGTGTGCCCCTAATTTCTTTTTATCTTTACAAAACATACAAATACAAAGACATATAAAACACACAGAAACAAACACTGACACACATGCAGATACACAAACAGAAACAAACACTGACAAAATTTCAGATACACAAACTGAAACAAACACTGAGACACATATAGATACACAGGTACACACACGACACACATACAGATACACAGACACACATGTAGATAAACAGATACAAACACTGTGAAAAACAGATGCACAGACATACACACATACAGATACAGACAAGCACAGAGGTCATCATTTCAGCTTCTGCTGTCTGGGGCTGTTAGGAGTTAGTGGCTTGCTCTTCCGCTCCACCACTCTTCCTCCCTACTTCCCGCGGGTGAGAATGTGTTATTTGTCAGGAAGTGACTCACTTCCTCCCAGCGCTTAATTATTACAGGTTAAAGCTGCATGACCAGGCCCCTTCAAACGGTTGTTCCCAACCTGTGCGATGGAGCTGCACAAGCGGTAGTCCTGCCATTATGGATTATTTTTCGCGTACCCTTGGGGAAACTGGTTTATACCTCTGTGGGTACGCTTATCCCAGGTTGGGAACTGCTGCTTTAAATAAACATGATGAACATCACAACAACGTCTTCAAAATGAAGTGGTTATTGTGTCAAGAGGTCCCAGTAACTTCCTTACCTTTACAGTTTAAACCATTCACGAATGGTTTAACCCCAAAGTCTGCACTGCAGCACAATTTCTCCTTGTCCATGTCCACACCCGGTTTCAGAAATTCTCCTGAAGGAATTCTCTAACTGCCACCGGACAGCAGCATCACTAATTGTCTTAAAGTGGTCAACTGATGCTCTAAGCCAATCAGTAGCTCCCCATTGATAAAAAGAGCTTGAGTAAGGTATGTACCTTTAAAAGAATTTCTAAGAGCGGATGTGAACAGGGACAGAGAGAAACGGCTCTGCAGTGTGGACTTAGGGGTTAAACCATTGTTTCAGCTCCAACTTGAGCACTTGGAAAGAATAATCTCCACCTAAGGATATGGTGTAATAGTGATACAGCAAGCAGGCTTTCTGGTAGTAGATATATTCGTTAGACATGTAAGGTAGAGCAGAGAAAATAATACAGTGTAGTATATCAAACATAGTGTTGAAATCAATAAAAATATAGTATTGCACTCACATTTTAAGGAGCCTCTTGTATTGGCTCCTATAGTACAGCTTGAAGTGGTATAATCCCCACTCTAGGGTGTGTGTGCAGCGCAGGTCCTCCTCATATATGGGGGTAAAATAAAACACAAAGATAATAGTGTACACTGTGGCAGCAGGGCTAAAATTTTATTTTAAAAATCCTACTTACACGAGGTAGAGCAAATACCGGTTTGGTCAATCCTGAAAGTGTAGGAGATATATATGCCCACCAAGGATATGTAAAGCAGGAATCAACCAGCAGGGTGTAGAGGTCCAATAAAAAGTACTTTATTTATAAAACTAATAAACAAATAAAAATAGTAATATATGAAACACTTAACACATTTCATCACTATATGGCTTTATCAAAATGGTAACACTATAGTATTAGGGATATATGTTGCCAAATACTTCCCACGATCACCAGAATAGTCTCCAATAGTAAAAAAACATTGTCAATTACCAATTTAATTCTTTGTTTGTGTGATTGGGATTGTTTTTTTAATTATGTTTAACCACTAATTGACAGTTCCAACTGCCTGTTATTTTTCAATCGTTTGACTTCTATCCTTGAAACCGTGTTTCCAATGTCATGAATTTTAAGATATTATACATTATTCTTGTTCCATTTATAATCCAAGGGTTGCTCATTTTTCATTGTACCGTATATTGTGGGCAATACGAGGTACCACGTAAATAAATAAATCTGGTTATCTAACAGATTTTTAGAAGGTTCTCTTAAATGTCCATTGAGTTCAACCAGTTGGGCTGTCAGAGGTTTTTCAGTAACTTTTACAAAATTGCCTTTACTATATAATAAATTGATGTCAAAGTGTTGCTATACTCTATTGTATGGGAAAGTTCTATAAGAAATCTCTTTGTGAACCAAAGATAAAATCAAGGATAGCCAAGTACTAGCAAAATAAGAAATCCTGGTAGCCTTTGGTGACTCATATTGTAATGGGTTGGAGAATTTTAAAGGGGAAATATTACCATTTTTATACGGATTATTCCAGTGTTTTGGTGTCTGTGAGCCATCGGGGAAAGCTGCATTGTTTTTGCACAGGGTGTGAATTAGTGCGAAGACAAGTACACCATTTTTATTCTGAGAAAGTCGACACAAGAAGTAATGAGGAGTCCTCAAGCGCACTGTACAAATCAGGCGTGCATATAAGAAAAATACTTGCACTTTTAGATTTATAGATAAATATTACTGTTTCTTTAAAAGCATATAACATAAACCATTTTATCCTTGCAATTTCTGTTCCATTAAATCATACTTTTGGACATGATATTTGCTTGAAAGAAAGGATTAAGAATGTGGGAGATATGTGCCTTGAGGGAAAATAAAACATAGAAACAGCTAGTGAGGGAAGGATAAAATATAGTTTATTCACTTAACTCTGAAGTGTAGTAAATTGAAAACAAACTAATTATAGGATAGTTGATTTTTTTTTTTTAATAACATTCTATTGTGTTCGTAATTTGGAAGTCTGTTTTTTTCGTATCTACACATACCCCATTCTCTGATTGTGCCATTTGATGATATTTACGCATTATGGAATAGTGGAGATTGAACAAGAGATTTGCCATCTTCAAGCAACATCACATCATTTCATCAGAACACACTTGTTATGGTGCCAGGAGGTCCAGGACACTGGCTTACCTTTAGTGGTTAAATCATTCACAAACTATAACAGTAATGCCAGCTGGCCGTTTACACCTCCCCCTGCCCTGTGGCTGGCTTCCCCCGATACAGCTGGTGTGCAGGATAAGACTACACAAGCAGGGAGACCATGCAGTAACTTTCCCAAAATGGCAGACACCAACAGCTTTAGCAAAATTCAAAATTTATATATTGACCAGATTGGACATCATATTTGCCTACTTCTGGCCTAAACTGGAGCGCATGCTGGAACATATGCTGCACCGACCTGCCCCAACACAAGTGAGCAATCACTCACTCTAATGATGTTCTCATCCACAGACCTTGACACCAGTGGTCCAGAAGGTGCTAAAATGGCTGAATAGCACATAGAATCCCTCACTAAAGACTAAGGTGACACAAAGGCAGGCATTGATGTGATCTACTGCTGCAGCATAGAATGAGATTGCAGAACCAAGGGAAGTTCAGACCATAGCCCTTGAATGAACCAGCCAGCCCTTGATTGGGTCTGGAGGCCTGCAGCATTCTTCCTTGATGCGGAATGTTCTCCCCCTGGAGGGTATGGGATTACTTGGGCCTACGGACTGACCCATCCACAGCTCCTGATTATCCACCTTGTTAGAGCTTGTTGTGAGAATTGTTTTACCGGTTGTTTAGCCCTCTATTTTGCATGTACTTAATCTGCTTTTGCCTTGTGTGCCTTTGACCATTATTTTGTATTTACTTTGAAATACCCATGCACAACAAAAACAAAAAATTATAAAAACAAATTAACCTTTACAAAAAAACAAACATGATGCCGACATGGGCCTTCATCTTTCTTCAGCTTCTAACACTTCATCCATAGGAGTCACGTTGGTCCGGTTCTCTCACACTACAACACAAGTCTATGTCTATGGAGGATCCCATGACACCACAGAAGTCTTCACAGAACATGTTTTGCGATGAGCGAAACAATGCCTGATTGGATGTAGGAAGCAACAAGTTGATGGTGGAATGGCTGTAGTCAGTAACAAGATGATGATGATGGAAGGTCTTACTTTGCCCATATTGTGTTATGTACCTGTTGACTGCACTGGAACTTCAGTGAATATGAAAATTTAATATTTATTAAATGCTCATAAAGTTTTTTATGACAAAGCTGCTTTAGAGTCACATACATGCAGATAGCCTTCCACATTTAGAAGAGCGTATCCTAACACGCTCATGTACATACAAAAGCACGCCTACCAACCAGTGGTGGGTGGTGAAGTTTAAAGATGGTGGAGCGCTGTCCTCCAACATGTTGGGATCTAGTTCCAGGAAGGTCTGTTCCAAGATCAGTTGCATCTCCAGTCATCAATAAAGAGAATATACATTGCATACATAACCATGAGACATACTTTCTCTAACAAACACTTATCAATGGTCCTTACAATGTCAATAGATAATTTCTTGCAACAAAAACTGCCTCTATGGACCAGTCTCCATTGCATTTATCACACATGCAGATAAAAGTACAACTCTTCTTCTGGGGCTAGTTCTAAGTTACAAACATGTATTCCTAACACTTTTGTGCTGGACTACCTATTTAGGTGTCCAGCCCCCCATAGAATGGAGTAAAAAGATAGCTTACTTACCTTTTCTCCATCGCTGCAGTGGTCTAGCTGTGGCTGGCTCTGCAATTATGGCTGAAATGATCAATTTTAACAATCTCAGTCAATTCAATGCTATCTCATAGGAAAGCATTGGGAGGCTATTGTGCATACGTGGCCAATCAGCATATCCTCAAAGAGATGCATTGAATCAATACATCTCTATGAGTAGCATTCAGCATTTCTGTGTAGAACGCAAATGCTGCATTCAACACAGCACTAAAATAGGAAGGGCCAATGGTGGCCAATTAAGAGACTGCATCTTGAGGTATTACTAGGCAGCAACGTAAACACAGTCTTTTCTCTGAAGAGCTGCAGGGACATGCTTTAGACACCTACATTAAGCTGTAGTGGTGCTGGTGACTATAGTGTCTAAGTTTATAGTTTACCCATACCACCATTTCACATAGACAGTTTTAGGGGTTGGAATGACTTGCTAGTAACAATTCATGCAGCTAAAATGTAATTTAGAACAAGAACAAAGTATGTCATTTACTCAAATTGACTTCTAAACGTAATTAGTACTTTAAAAGACATTGTTGGGAATATTATTACTGTGGAGCTCTGGTACACACGGACACAATATAGAGTTCCTTCAATCTAAAGAAAGAAGGTTTTCTCTCTATTCAAGGATGAGGGACTGTCCCTCCTAAATTGGGGAACTTGGATGGTATGATTTACTTATCTGTGTTATATAATGATGCAAGTGTTTTACTTCTGCAAGATGTATAGTATGCTTGCCCTTAAAAATAGAGCATACTACCCCCCCAAGAAAAAAAACAACAGACGTATAACACACCAGTCTTCACCCTCTAAATCCAGTCACACTAACACTTTTATGCCATACACAAACAAAATCCAAATGATGAGAGACACTAAAAGCAAAGATACGGGGCTATGTATGGTGTATATAAAGTGGCTTTTCCATGAGAAGATAGAGGCCCTATTCTTGTGGTTATTACACAAATAGCAATTGCATCACAATATTTCTACTTTTCTAACTAAAACACGTGTATCTCTTCCCCCATGTATCACATAAGCACGGTGACATGGTCGTTAGCCAGAGACCCCATATTATATTTTTTGGGAGATAGGTTATTGCCATATATAGCATGGCACTTTCGGTTTCAGACTTGTTAAATGTGTGCACCAGTTTGTGAATGATTACAAATAGCAGGATCACATTTTAAGTAAAGCAAAGTCAGATCCAGCAGTAAAAATCTCATATCTGCTCACATCCTTTGAATTATCCTTGAAGACGTCTGTGCAAAATGGACAGAATGTATAAGAATTGGAACTGGAGTCTTACTTTCGTCTTTCTCTTGTTCTTCATTTGGCTATTTTTTATTTTATTTGTAATAGGAGCTGGATTACTTTGAAACTCTAGATTGCTCAGTGGAGGTTCAGGACAGTGAGACAACTTGAAGACTGCACCTATACTTAAAACTTAGTTTTCCAGGACTTTGTGAGTACATTTTAAAGAAATGCTTGCCGATATTGGTCCGCACTTTTGCTTTGTATACATACTGTTATAGAAAATATTATTGGGAATAGTACATTGAAAAGAAGAGTAGTAACTCTGAAATAGTTGATAGGTGCTCAGATTCTTATTTGTGCAAGAAAAATAAGCTTTTCTTTTTCTTCAATTAAAGGGTTGCTTGGAGCCCACTGTAGTGGCTATTATACCAGGAGTAGCCTGGAGCAGGGGCAAACCAGTTTACAATGTTATACAGTATTGTTTACACAGCAATAGGTAAAATCAAATAATCCCAATAAATCAATAGACCAACTCTTGCAAATGTAGGAATACAAAACTGTTCCTAACACTACAGTGTCCCTCTGCCCCCTCCCCTCCAACAAAAAGGGTTAAAAAAAAACATGCATTAGGCCTTCCCCATAAGAAAGCATTGCCTCAATGCTATTCTATAGGGATTTTCCAGAAGCTGGACGTTGTCAAGCAAAGCGGAATTGTCCAGTGTAGTTTCATGGAGCAAAAACTCTGTGTAAACGCAGGAAGCACCTTTAGTGGTCTTAACCCTGCAATGTAAACATTGAAGTTTCTCTGAAAGTGCAATGTTGTCACTTGCAGGGTTAAGGGGACAGGGGCACTGCACCCAGCCCACTTCAATGAGATGAAGTGGTCTGGGTGCCTATAGTGTCCCTTTAAGCAGATAAATCATGAATGTAACAGGCATAAAACTCTAAGATCACTGGTAGTAGACACAATGATATTAAAGGTGCCGGAATAGGTCAATTATGCTTTACGCCAACACATTTACAAAACATTTTTACATTTCTTCAGATATAACAAATAACACGTAGTAGCAAGAACAAAGTAGTGAAACACTACACAGAAACCATCCATACTCTATACAGTCAGTGGCAGCTTTTGATGTGTTGTCTTCGTTTAACTTATGATAAGTATACAGGTTTGATATATTTATTATATTAAGGGTTAATACTCCCTTTTTTCAGGGAGATCTAGAATGGAGAGCTTCACTTCTGTTCTTGAAAGATCCAGTTCCTGAAATATTCCTTGGCTGTGTTTGATGAACTCTTTGAGTATATGATTTATGCTGCTACCTATTTATATGTGAAGATATACAATGCCCGAACAGTGAATCCCAAAAGGTGTTACTCCTATAAAAATTATGGATTACCATTAATCTGTCAGATGTTCTAAAGCTTGCAGATATTACCATGAATTGTAGATTTTTAAAATTTCTTATTAAGATTGTTTCCTAGTCTCCTTGAGTGAGCATCTGTACATTTGTAAATAATTACCAGCACACAAGTGTATATTTTACTGGTTTAAATTACATTTCACCAAATGGTCTTACATGGAAGCCTATTGCACCTATTATGGATGCTTGTCGAGAAACTAATTTATAGGCCAAGCCATATTATTCCTATAAATTATGAGAATTTGAAAATATGCATGTTAGAGATTTGTAAAAGAAGGAATATGTTCAACATAAACAGGAAATGTGTTTGTAAAGCATATGGTCAAAAAAATGACAAAAACTTCACACCACTTTGTTTCTATTCAAATTTTTTTTCTTTCATTTTTTTTTTTAATTTTCCATATATTTTGCATCCTCTAATAAGACACGATACAAAAGAATTCTGTATAACTTAAACAACATAACCAAGAGACACAAAAATAAAAAATAAAATAAAAAAAACACAAACTCGCTTCACCTTGGAATAAAGATGGCGCAGAGTGGTGATTGGAAATAAGGTACGCTCTAATTCTCGGCACAGGCCAGAGATTGGCTCCACATCCATTATAAAGAAATAGAAAATTAAATAAAAAGGTGCCCCCCATATTCAGGTGGGATGGGTGCTCTAAAGCCGACTCCACGGGTGACCCCAGTTCTACCAGAAGGGGTAGTAATGCAATGTGCAAGTCTCACGTTCCTTCTAAATATCAGAATACAAATGTTCCCTTTTTTTGTACTATTCACATCCTTTTCGAACAGCAATGTCATTGAGTGACCTCATGATAACAGGGGCCTTGTCTCCCGGAGGTTTTGTGGGTTTGTGATAAATTCTGGTTAGGAGAGTAGATATACATTGTAAAATTCAGCAAGACAGCTTTTTTGATAAATAAGGGCTTGAAAATAATTTGCTAAGGATGCTTCGGAGTACAGCCTTGATTACTGCAGGATTGGAGTCGTCTCTCTTTGACTGCTTTGGGAGCGCAGCACTTCAATTAGTGTTTCCAATGTTCAGAGTCATTTGCTACTTTAAAACAAAACATATACAAAAAACTTGGAGATGTTACATGGCTGAGCACTTTCTCTTGAAATGTATTTGTAAGGCTGCTTGATTCGGTCAAGGTTGGAGGACAATTTTCCATTTGCTTGTCACAAATATGCCTTGGCATGCAGTCTAAAATGTCCCTTTTAGGGGGGTTAATGCCACAGTAAAATGCTCCAGGAGGCTTTGCCTACTTTTCTTGCGAATTCAACGGCCGATGACATTATAAACAAATAAAAATAAATTATAATAAAAAAAAAATGTGCCCATGTCCCCCTAACAGTGCTTCTTCCTCCAACTGTGCAAAGCTTCCTGTTACAGAGCACGGAAAGTGGATGAAGACGTGATATATTAACTCCATAAATAAGGATGTCAGCTAATCAGGAGTCATCAGTCGCTTTCATACCTATAGCATATACGCACACCTCGGCTCTTTTACAAAAAAAATCAAGAAACCCTGAACCTGTAGTGACTTTTACTGTATCCCTGACATTTAGCTGTGAGAGGCTGATGGGAATTCTGTAGTTCATTAGATCAATGCAATGTCCAGTTTTAATACATCTGTCAGAGACACCCCTTACCAAGTTTGCTGGCAGGGGTCTTGTTTGGCAGGGGGGAAGAGTCTGTGCCCATTTGTTGGAGTCAGGACAGATCCCTAATATATTGAAATGAAGTGAACA